GATTTATCAAAAGGAAGTGTTATTAATTGTCATATTCTTCGTCGTTATCATCAATCTCAAGATAATATTTCATGTGAGAATGATGACCTGTTGACTAAAAACGATCTGATCTTATTCACCGTTCATCATACAATGTTTGATGGAGCATCTGTATCAATTTTCCTTCGTGATTTTTCTCTTGCTTATCAATCTGATGGCTCATTATTTGTAAACAATAATCTATTGAATTATATAGATTATTCTGTTCATGAACATATCATGGATATGTCATTATCTCGTGAATTCTGGCATTCTCAACTTGAAAGATACAATATCGAATGTTCATTATCATTACCAGTTGATCGACAACGTTCACCAACTAATCAACAACGATCAGGCTTAGCATCCATAGCAGAAATCAATTTTGATAATGAATTATGCACATTGTTTCTAAATTATGCATCATCACATCATCTCACACTTTTTCAACTTGGATTATCTATATTTTATATCTTCCTATTCAAATTAACTCATGGTGACAGTGATCTATGTATTGGTTCTATCAATGCTAATCGATATCGAAGTGAATTAGTGAATATGATAGGAATGTTTGTTTCAACATTGCCATATCGTTTAGAAATTGATTCTCATTGGTCATTTGATGAACTTGCTAAACATGTACGAGAAAAATGTTTATCAATTCTTGAACGTTCTCATTATCCATTACAGCATATTCTTGGTAATAATCGATTAAACCAATCGAGTGTATCATTTTTTGAGATAATGTTTGATTTTATCAGTGTGTCAAAAGATATGAGACATTTAAGTTTGAATGATGCAAATTTAGAACAAGTATCATTACAACAATCAGCTGAAGTGTCCAAGTTTGACTTCTCATTGAACTTTATATATAATTCATCATCAGATGATAATCAGTTGTCTTGTTGTTTTGTTTGTTCACATGATTTGTTTGAAAAGTCAACTATTTCAAAAATAGCTCAAAGATTTAAATACATGTTTGAGCAACTGTTTCAAACACAATCAAACAAAACTCCTGCGATGAATGTGTTTTTATCAATTAGCAAACTGTCTCTTATTCTTCCTGAGGAAGCTGAAGAAATGGAATTAGTTGTGTTTCATCGACTGGGGAATATTGTGAATGAAGGTATGATTATATACAGCCTGTCCTACTGTTTGTGATAGTATTAGTCAGTTAAATACTTAAGGCAAAAATGCATCAAAATGCACTGCAGTGTAGATGTATATTAGTTTTATTATTAAAATGCGTCTTAAAGGCATAAATAATGAGAAAATAAGGATTTAAACGAATTGTGATCGTCAGTGACTCATTTTGTCTCGTGTATATGCCCTGATTTTGAGACTATTAACTAGAGATTTACCAAAGTTGCTGAAAGTGAGTTAAAGCCGGACTTATCGAGGAATTTTTTACGAAAGAAATCAAAGTGAAACTGTAACGATCTCTGATGAATGTTTGCTTTGAATGTGTGAATAGTCTTGTATTTTTATACTAATCAACAAAAAAGGACAGCTCCCATTGCACGAAAGTTGTATATTTTGTTTTAACAAAAACAGAAAACTATGATAATTGAATCGTACACAAGCCTGTTTGTGTATAAGCTGGGATTCTCGCATAACTAAGTTACGCTCGCACATTACATGCCAGAAAACAAATTTTGTTCAGTTAGAAAGGCGATTAGATGAAAAGTGACTAGAATATTATTCTTAAATATTATTGGGCCGTCCATCTTTTACATTATAATTCACTAAGCTCTGCTTATTCTAGCACCAACATCATTCGCACAAGCTCGTATATGGCTTGACGAAAGAGTTCGATTCGATCCAGACAAACCTCAAATAGCAATCTATAATATGCCTTTTGTTTATCGTCTACAACCACATCATACTTTATCAGTTAAACAACTTCGACATGCTCTTCATCTCACTGTTAACAAACATCGCTCACTTCACACATCACTTCATTTTGACATCCAAAAGAATCTACTTATGCAACGAGTTATTACTAGTGAAGATAAAACCAACACTAATAATATGTTTTCAATCATCGAAACTACTTATCAAACAGATGAACAATTAAATGAGATTGTACATGACGAGAAACGTAATCCACATCTCTTTGATCTTGGTCAAGGTCTTGTCTTTCGATGTCATCTTGTTTACTACAAACAAATCTCTTCCAATGATCTTCTTTCTCACAAAGATCTACTTATCTTCAACTTTCATCATGCTCTATTTGATTTTCCATCAATGAAAGTGTTTCATCATGATCTTAACCAAGCATATGCAACAGGTCAATTGTTGTATGATGACAACACTAATCTTCGTTATCTCGATTGTAAATATAATTAGTTCTTATCATTTGCCTAATACATTATTTTCTTTGATTATGTAGATGCTGTTATTGAACAACAAATGTCAATGACTGGTGCAAGTATGTTTTGGCTTGATGCTCTTCATGATTGTAAACTCGATCAGCCTTTATCATTACCATTCGATCGATATCGTCTTGCAAATGAACATCGAACTGGTCGTGGAACATCTATTTCTTTTGATTTTGGTCAAGATCTCTCACATGACTTTCTTACTCATGCATCATCAAATAATATATCACTTGAACATCTCACATTTGCTATTTATTTCATCTTTCTATTTAAACTAACTAATGGACAAACAGATTTATGTCTGGCTATGAACATCAATAATAATCGATATAGAGATGAGCTCAAATCAATCATTGGATTGTTTGAGAATGTCATCCCATTACTATGTCGATTAGATCCTCACTGGCGTTTTCATGAATTACTCGAACAAGTTCAAGAGATCACAACAAATAGTATGAAATATTCATATTTTCCACTTCAACGTATTCTCAATCAACATCCACATATTTCAAGACATGCATTTCTCGATACATCTCTGGAATTTATATCATACAAGAATAATAATACAGTTATGATTGGTAATTCTCAACTTGTTCCGAGATCTTCCTCATTCGACATTAATGAAGATGAAATACTAAGTGTATCCGACTTCTCTATTTCATTTCATCATAATATGAACATGAATCAACTGTCCTGCACAATTAATGGATCACTTGACTTATTCAATAGAGACACAGTAGAGAAGATTTCACAACGATTTCATTTCATCTCAAATCAATTATTTGCATCTACGATTGACAATCAAATGAACAAACCAATCTATGAGCAATCATTAATATTATCAAATGAACAATATCTGATGCAATCATTGAATAATACACAAGTATCATTTCCATATCCTCTCACTTGTATTCATCATGAGTTTGTAAGTCAAGTAATGAAACATCCACAAAAACTAGCTGTTGAACTTGATGAACAATCATTAACATATTGTGAGCTGTTGTATTATGTTCAAGTGTTATCTTTAACTCTTCTTAATGAACATCTTATCACTCCAGGTGAAATAGTTTGTCAATGTGTTGAGCGAAGTTTGTCAATGGTAAGTTGATTAAGATGAGTAACAATTAATGTGAGTTTGATGTTGTTTTTTGATTAGGTGATTGGTATAATGGGAATTGAAATGGCTGGTGGTGTTTATTGTCCATTTTCACCTCGAGATCCACAACATCGTTTACATGCTCTTGTACAACAAACTCAAACTCGTCTTGTTCTTGTTCATGGTTTAACTAAGACCAAGTTTTATCATAATATCATATCACTTGATATTGACTTCATAGTGTCGGACAACAAGAGAGTGGGTAAAGGTGATATTGATGGATTATCAAATGTTTTACTAGCAGCAAAAGATATGGCTTATATCATATACACAAGTGGCTCAACAGGAACACCGAAAGCAGTGAGTCTAAAATGATATCTTTCTTGGTGCCGTGAAAATAGTTTGTCTACTTTTAGGCTCAAGTGCGACATCGAAATTTCAGTCGGTACATGAATTCATTAGTATATGGTGATGTTTTGAAAGAGAAAGATACAATTATGCAAATATCCCGTTGTTCATTTGATACACATGTTCAAGATATCATGGGCACATTATCAACTGGAGGTACACTTATCATGTTGCATCTAGGAGGAATTATTGATCTAGCGTATCTTGCTGACGTCATCAAAAAGAAGAATGTTACATGCTTTACTAGTGTACCAACTATTCTTCAACATTTATTTGATTTTTTGAAACAATCTAATGATAGCTCATCTTTAATAAGTCTTCGATGCGTTTGCACTGGTGGTATGTAATCTTTCGAGTGAATGTCTTTTTTACGTACAATTTTTCTACTTTTATAAAGGGGAAAAGTGTTCTATCAATCTGGTGAACCTAATTTTAAGTTCAATCGCGGATCACTGTGAACTGTGGAACCTTTATGGTCCAGCTGAAGCTACTATAGTTTGTACCTATCATAGAGTAAATCTCATGGATAACACTCAAAGCATATCAATTGGTAGACCACTTTGTAATTATCAATGTATGACTATGAATCCATATTTACAATCATCTGTTATTGGCCAAGAAGGTGAGCTGCTAGTGGGAGGAGCAGGTGTCTTTGCTGGTTATCTTGGACGTGATGATTTAACTGCAAAAGTTCTTGTTGAAATCGATGGTGATCTATTTTATCGAACAGGTGATCTTGTTAGAATAAATAACAATGGTCTTCTTCATTATCAAGGAAGAAAAGATCATCAAATCAAACTACATGGACAAAGAATTGAACTTGGTGAAATCGAACGATGTTTACTTAACATCACATCCATATCTGCTTGTGTTGTCATGAAATGGAATGATGATTATTTAGTTGCTTATGTTCAATCTTCCTCTCATATCAATGAAGAAGAACTACGTGAACATTGTCAATCTTATCTTCCACCACATATGATACCATCCATATTCATTATACTTGATAAACTACCTTTGAATCAAAATGGAAAAGTAGATCGAAAGCAACTTCCTTCACCCCACTTCTCATCTATACATCTCACAAATAGTATAGAACTATTATTACCAACAAATGATATTGAAATTAGTATCCATCATATTTGGTGTGAGATATTCAAACTAAATCAAATCTCAACTGATACAAACATATTTGCTATTGGTGGTCATTCATTACTAATCATGCAACTTTTTCATCGATACAAAATCGAGTTTCATTTAGAAACAAATTCTCTTTCTATGAGTAAGCTTTTTCAACATCCAACAATTATTCATCACGCGAAACTCATTCAGCAATCTATCAATACCATTCACACTCTGAATAACTCTCCTTGGTCATCATTACATCTCACTCAAGGTAAATAAAATAATTTATGCTTGAGAGTAGGTATGTGACAACTCAGGCTCAACAGCTCGTGAGAGCTGAATCGATGAACTGATCACCATCTCCAACCCAGATGAATTGAACTGATCAACAGTTTAGAGCTGGGCAAAGTACTCGAAGTACTCGTACTCGAGAAAGTCCGTACTCGCCCAGCTCTCCAACAGTTACAACTCATTGAGCGAAACTGGAGTTGTCACATACCTACTTGAGAGTACCATAAACTAATATGTTAATCTTTTTTTCTCATTCTAGCTAGAGCATCATTTGCACAACAACGAATCTATTTAGATGAACAAATTCGATTTTCATCCAACAAAACAATCATGAATAACATCTATGTTATTCCATTACTTTATCGAATATCATCGATAAATGATCATGTATCCATTACTCGATTACATCATGCATTTCAAAGTGTTATTACAAAACATAATATTCTTCGAACAGCACTGTATCTTGATGCAAATAGCAATATTGTACAACACTGCTTAGATGCAAATATCATTCTCGATGATCATATGAAATCAAATGGATTGACAATCGTTAATCTTCATACTGATGATCGTCGTCACATGAATGAAGTTATTGCAGAAATCTTAAATCAATCTGATTTGTTCGATTTATCAAAAGGACGTGTTATTAATTGTCATATTCTTCGTCATTGTCATCAATCTCAACATACTATCTCATATGAGAATGATGATCTATTGAGTGAAAATGATCACATATTGATTAGTATTCATCATGCAATGTTTGATGGAGCATCAACATCAATCTTCCTTCGTGATCTTTCCCTTGCTTATCAATCCGATAACTCCCGATCTATGAATGAAAACTCATTGAATTATATAGATTATTCTGTTCATGAACATATCATGGATATATCATTATCTCGTGAATTCTGGTATTCTCAACTTGAAGGATATAATATCGAATGTTCATTATTATTACCAGTTGATCGACAACGTTCATCCACTAATCAACAACGATCGGGCTTAGCATCCATAGGTGAAATCATTTTTGATAATGAACTATGCACATCATTTCTAAACTATGCATCATCACATCATCTCACACTTTTTCAACTTGGATTATCTATATTTTATGTCTTCCTATTCAAATTAACTCATGGTCAAACTGATTTATGTATTGGTTCTATCAATGCTAATCGATATCGAAGTGAATTACAAAATCTAATCGGAATGTTTGTTTCAACATTACCGTATCGTGTTGAACTAGATCCCCATGGGTCATTTGATGAAGTAGTTAAATATGTACAAGAAAAATGCTTATCAATTCTTGAACATTCTCATTATCCACTTCAACATATCCTTAGTGATTTACATTTCACTCAGTCAAATGCGTCATTTCGTGAAGCAATGTTTGATTTCATTACTGTGTCACAAGATATGGGACATTTATGTTTGAATAGTGTTAATCTAGAACAAGTGTCGTTACAACAATCATATGAAATGGCTAAATTTGACTTCTCATTGAACTTTATATATAATTCATTATTAGATCATAATCAGTTGTCTTGCTCTTTTATTTGTTCAAGTGATCTGTTTGATGGAACAACACTTGCCATAATAGGTCGAAGATTTCAACTTGTTTTAGAACAACTGTTTTCATCGAAGTCAAGCACACAGTGCATTGATTTTTATTGTACATCTATATCAAAAGTTGATCTTATCCTATCAGAAGAAGATGAAGAAAGAGAAGCGATAGTGTTTCATAGGTTGGAAAATATTATTAATGAAGGTATGCTTAGTTTTTAATTATTTATATGCATAGAACACTCATATCAGTTAGAACGATTAACGTTAAGAGCGGGTTCAGGCGAACTATGCATTGCTATATTATTGTGCTTACTGTAGAATCTTTTGTTTTTGGTTGAAATGAAAATGTACAAAATTTTCTATGATTGATACTGCGGTGACATCATGTAGATACCATTATTTTGCAAACCACTCGTCTCCTGTGTTTAATTTCATTTTTCAATAGTGTGTATAATCTAACTCTCTTTAATTTATACTTAGTGGCAAGTTCACGTTAAAACCTAGTTCAATTTCAGATCCCACGTTACTTTCTTGAATTTTCTGCACAATGTTTTTCTTTCCAAATTAAAATGTTCGAATCTAAAACATGATGTATATTACATACATCACACACATTCGGATATATACTAATGAGAAAATTGAAATGAGAGAATACGATATAAATGAAAAGCTTCTTTTGCCATAAAAATATTCTTCTATTGTTTGGAAGCTTCATTACTAACAGCTTATAATATACATTGGCAGTAGTGTTTTTATAAGTTTTGTTGCATATCGAGATGAATATCTTCAAATTTCGCGTTTTTGACTTATATAACTAGCAATAATATTAATTTAATTCGGTTACAAAATAGATAAACAAAAGTGACTATAATATTACGAGAGCGCACACTGAAAACAAAAAAGGTGTCGTGCGAGACCTAAAAAAGGTGTCGTGCGAGACCTAAAAAAGGTGTCGTGCGAAACCTAAAAAAGGTTTCGTAGCTACTACGAAACCATTTTTGGGTTTCGATGTTTGCAACGAATTCGAAACCATTTTTTTAGTTTCGTACAATACTATGAAACCCTGAAAAACGTTTTCTGAAAGGCTGAAAAGCCTCTGTAAGGGCTTCGCAGTATTATACGAAACCTTCGAAAAAAAAACTGAAGATTTCGTAGGTTCATACGAAATCCTAAAAGTATTTTCTAGGGTTTTTGAGAAATTTCTGTGAAAGTTTCGTATGAACCTACGAAACCTTCAGTTTTTTTCCGAAGGTTTCGTATAATACTGCGAAGCACTTACAGAGGCTTTTCAGCCTTTCAGAAAACGTTTTTCAGGGTTTCGTAGTATTGTACGAAACTAAAAAATGGTTTCGAATTCGTTGCAAACGTCGAAACCCAAAAATGGTTTCGTAGTAGCTACGAAACCTTTTTTAGGTTTCGCATGACACCTTTTTTGTTTTCAGTGCAGTTGGATATTATGATTACTCACTGCAAACAACTAAATTTTAATTTTTATAGGACCAGCATCCTTTGCACAATATCGAATATGGCATGAAAATCAAAGAGGCGTCGATACTGATCAATCATCTTTAACGACCCATAATATACCATTTTTCTATCGCCTCTATACAGAAAATGTGTTATCCGTAAAACAACTTCGTCGTGCTCTTCAACTCATTGTAACCGAACATGAATCACTTTATACATCACTCATCTATGATTCTAACAAAAATATACTCATGCAGAGAGTTCTCACTCAACAACATATCAATAATGACTCGTTTACAATTACTGAAAGCACTTATGAAACAGATGAACAACTCAATGCTATCATCGAAAATGAGAAATGTAACCGCCAACTTTTCGATCTCACCCAAGGTCTTGTCTTTCGATGTCGTATTATTTACTATAAACAAATCTCTTCGAACAACATTCTTTCCAATAAAGATATAATTATCTTCAATTTTCATCAAGCTTTCTTTGATTATCCATCCATGAGCTTATTTCTTCATGATCTCGATCAAGCTTATAGAACAGGTCAACTACCTTTCAATGATGACAATACTACCTTACGTTATCTTGATTGTAAGTATATTCAATTCCTTGTTCTACGGATTTCAACTGCTGCTTTCTTCTTATTCAGATGCTGTCATTGAACGACAAATGTCCATGACAGGTGCAAGTATGTTTTGGCTTGATACTCTGTATAATTGTCATCTTGATCAATCTCTGACATTACCATATGATCGATATCGCCTCATGAATGAACATCGAACTAATCGAGCAACCTCTATTTCTTTTGATTTTGATCAAGATCTTTCTCATTACTTTCTTATCTATGCATCATCAAACAATATCAAACATGATCATCTAGCACTTGCTACTTACTTTATCTTCTTATTTAAATTAACGAATGGTGAACAAGATTTATGTATTTCAATGAATATCGATAATCGTTATAGAGATGAACTAAAATCTATGATTGGACTGTTTGAGAATATCATTCCATTACGATGTCAACTAGATCCTCACTGGTCTTTTCAATATCTACTCCAATATGTCCGAGAGACAACAACCAATAGTATGAAATATTCTTATTTTCCTCTTCAACGTATTCTCAGTCAAGATTCAAATGTTTCAAAACCAGCATTTCTTGATATATCATTTCAATTTCTTTCGTCTGTGACAAACAGTGACAATAAACTAATAAGGATTGGCAATACTCAACTTTCTTCCATACCTTTCACAATGAACATTAATGATTTCTCATTTCTAATCGAGCATGATCGCAATATCAATCAACTCTCATGCACAATCGATGCATCACTTGATTTGTTCAACGTAGAAACAATTGATAAGATATCTCAACGATTTCATTCAATCTTATATCAATTATTTACATCTATCGATGATAAAATGAATAAATCAATCTATGAAATATCATTAACACTACCAAATGAAAGATTACTCATGCAATCAATGAATAACACACAAGTATCATTTCCATCTCCTGTTACTTGTATTCATCATGAGTTTGTATATCAAGTGATGAAACATCCACAAAAACTAGCTGTTGAATTGGATGAACAATCTTTGGCATATGCTGAACTCTTATATTATGTTCAAGTATTGTCTTTTCATCTTATGAACAAATATGTTGTTGTTCCAGGTGAAATTATATGTCAATGTGTGGAGAGGAGTTTGTCAATGGTGAGTTATTGTTTGAGATTGATGTTTAGTGTGATTGAAGTTCGCATATTATATAGGTAATTGGTATTATGGGAATTGAAATGGCTCGTGGAGTTTATTGTCCATTATCACCTCGAGATCCACAACATCGTTCATATGCACTCACACAACAAACTCAAAGTCGTCTTGTTCTTGTCCATTATTTAACTAAGACTAACTTTGATCATAATATTGTTTCACTCGATATTGATGCAATATTAAATATCAATGATATAGATAAGAATGGCCTTTCAAGTGCGATAATGAAAGGTGAAGAGATAGCTTATATTATTTTCACTAGTGGATCAACTGGAACACCTAAAGCGGTTTGTTGATACTTCATTTTCTAGTTTCTGATTGGTCTTCATGCTATTTTATAGGTTCAAGTTCGACATAAGAACTTTATTGATTGTATCAATTCTT